GTCCCTAAGTACATGAATCCAAACCATCCCTCAGGGGTACCTTTTCCGTGAAATCTGTAGTGTTTGGGTAAATCTCTCACAACCAGCTCTCCATAAGACAAGCAAACACATTTATAACTGTTGCTAATTCATATAATGATTGAACTGGGGACTCAGATCTATTTTTAACAACTGGCGCTTTAATCACTTGGGCCATACCTCCAGTCAGGCCTTTCACTAATTGGAGATGTAGTCTCATGAACTTTTCTGCCTGGGCTTGTTTATACCTTGATCCTCTGATTCCTAATGCCTGAAATCAGCAATACAAATAGCAACTAGAAACAGTAAGAAAGAATAAGACAATCTAATATATAATTGACAAAAACTTGAACAAACACTTCACAAAAAGGGTGGACAAACAAACAAGGTGCATATGAAGATAATGTTCACAGGAATGCAGATGCCACTCTGATGTGACATCGAATCACTCCAGAATGGATAAAATGAAGACTGAAAATGCCAAATTTTATCAAAGATGTGAAGGACCCAGACCTATCATAACTGTTGAAGGGAGGGAATGTAAATGGTATAGCCACTTTGGAAATTTTATTTTCTTCTAAACACAAACATATGCCCTCATCATAATTATGCATTTCTTCTCCTAGGTGTACATTAAAGAGGAATGAGTATATTTATCTTCTACTAAAGGATTATGAGAATGTTCAGAGCACCTTTAAAAGCATACAGGTTGCGAATAACTCAAACGCTCATTGGTTGAATGCATCAGAAATTTGTGGTAATACAAACCATGGTATTATGACTTATAAGAATGAGCTATTGTTATTTTTCATATAGATAAGTCTCAGAACTTGTTGAGCAAATGCAATTGTGCTCAGAATATATACAGTAGACTCTTGGTATTAATGGGTATATGACTCCCAGGAGACTGTCTTTGAGCAAAATCCATGAAAGCAATAACTAGTATATGTCTGAGACAAGCAAAAATGGTCAGACAAGTTGATGTTAGACAAAATGAACCCCAAGATAAGGACTCTAATGTTTTTTCTTTCTTGCAATTGTTTCTAACATATTTATGATTTCTTTGTTGCTTTGTAAGTCCCTCCCCCATGGTATAACCCCTGCTTTCATTGTATTTGATGTTGGTATAATTTGTGGAGGGGAAAGGCAAAAACAAACCATTTAAATAGGGATACAGGTGGGCCCATTGCAACAATGAGATGTACAAGTTGTTATGTTGAAAAATGAACTTTACAACTTTGGCGGGGGAGGGGAGGGGAGATAGGAAGGAATGGGAAGGGATGGGAAGGGGAAACAAAGGAGGAGGCAACAATGCTTGATAAAAAGTACTCATTTTCTTGCCCATCTAATTGTAACCCCTCTGTACAGTATTTTCACAATAAAAAAAGAAATATACTCACTATCTTGCCCATGTAATTGTAAACCCTCTGTATGGTATTTTCACACTAATTTTTTTTTTTAAATCCATGAAAGGTTAGGATGCCGAGTTCAGTCTTACGTTGCTCATAGATTTCTGGCTTATTTTTTCCACTTAACCTCAGCTGACCTCATGACTTCCCAAAGTGGTAGGGTAGACTTTCAACTCTACTTGAGTACACGTCAGATCATGGCAGCCGCCAAGGTGGCGCCCCAGCAGTCCTACTCTGGGGAGATCCTCCAGGAGACAGAGTGTTCTGAAATATCTCAGAGCTATGAAGACTTGATGTTCATATGCAATCAACACATGCCTCCATCCTTTGCTGATCCCAACTGCGGTCTCAAGCCATGAAAAGTGACTGTCTGAATGTATATGAGAGCGCTCACAAAACTGATCTCAGCCCTTGAGTAACACATAATCTCTTACTTATGAATTTTCCACTTTATGGTGAGGTGAAAGTATACACATACAACCATTCTGCTTTTCCCTTTCTGTGCACTATTTAATGAATTGCCTGTCATTTTAGATCACTTTTTATAAGATAGATTTTTGTGTCTAAGAGGAAATTGTAAGCTAATATAAGTGTTCTGAGCACCTTTGGTAGACAATGTTTATTAAAATGCTTTTTAAATTTATGGCATTTTCTGCTTACATGCTTTTATTGAGGAGGAATCCCATTGTAAGTTGAAGAACATTTGTAATTGGAATATTTACAATTGGAGATGGAGAGATAGATCAAGTATGAAAAGTATAATTTTGCTGGATGCTTCATAGTTCGTTTAGAGCGCGCAGCCCTCTACACACAATCACCAGCTACAAGAGGCATATCTGTTTTGAAATATTAAGTCCTGCCTCCAAACTTGTCATGAAAAGGGGATATGAAGAGCTATGCAGGGTTCTAGAGGAACGATGAGAAGGGATGCTTTTTAAAAGTTCATTATCTTTTCCAAGTTCAGGCCCCCACAAAGAGATAACTATTATTCTGACTTTTATAATCATTGTACTAGTACTAGTACTGGGGCTTGAACTCAGGGCTTTATGCCCTCATTTTGCTTTTTGTTCAAGACTGGTACTCTACACTTGAGTTGTAACTCCACTTCCAGCTTTTTGCTGGTTAATTGGAGATAAGAGTTTCATGGGCCTTTCTGCCCAGGCATGATTCATATCATGATCCTCAGATCTCAGATTCCCAAATAGGTAGGACTATGGCTATGAGCTACCACACCTGCACATGGCCTAACTTCTACAATCATTAATTTATTTGGTCTGTTCTTGAACTTCACATAAATAAGTCCTTTGGTCATATTATGTGTACTCTATGTCTCTTAACACAAAGCTTGTGAGACCCACTCAAGTCCTTGGGTGCAGTAGTTCTTTCTCTTTCATCACTGTATCTATTTTTGTATTAAATATTCACAGTTCCCTTTCTGATGTTTGGATTGTTCCATTTGGAGGAAGTTATAAATAAAACTACTATCAACATTCTTGTCTTTATATTTTGACAAATGTATTGTTTGCTCATTTCTTTTGTATAATAGATACTAAAAAATACTGACAAAGTGTTTTCCAAATGTTTTGGTTTACCCATTTATACTTACTCTAGCCACATCTGAGAGCTCTGATTGCTCTTATTCTGACCCTTTAAATTGTCTTTTGTTTCAGTGGATGTGTAATTGTACCTTTCTGTGTTTTAGTCATACTTCTCTGAAATGTCAGGAGGTTTAATGTCTTTTCACATGTTTATTGGCCATTTGAATGTTGTCTTTTTTTTTCTTTTCTTTTTTGTCGGTTGTGGGGCTTGAACTCTGGGCCTGGGCATTATCCCTCAGCTCTTCAGCTCAAGGCAAGTGTTCTACCACTTGAGCCACAGTTCCACTTCTGGTTTTCTGAGTGATTTATTGGAGATAAGAGTTTCATGGAGTTTCCTGCCTGGGCTGGCTTTGAACTGTGATCCTAGATCTCAGCCTCCTGAGTAGCTAGGATTACAGGTTTGAGACACCAACGCCTGGCTGAGTGTTGTCTTTTGTAAGGAATTTATTTAAGTTTTTGCCCATTGTATAAATTTTGTGCTCTTTTCCTTATTGATTTGTAAAATACTTGATATATTTTGAATGAGTCTTCTGTTGGATATAATCGTTGAAAATGTATTCTCCCAGGAAATAGTTGGCAATTCATTTTCTTAATGGTATTTTAAAAATTCCACTAAGGAATAGAGTCCGTAAATTTAATGAAGTTTTACTGATGATGGTTGCAATTTTTGTGTATTTTTGTTTTCTGGGAATGGATTATATTGAGGCAATGATGGTGTTTTCTTCTACAATTCATATTGTTTAATCGCTTGCATTTAGGACCCCAGCTCAAAAAAATTAGTTTTGTGTAGAGTATCTAAAATAGTTAAAAGCTTTTTTTCCCCCAAATACATTGATATGGCATTGCTCTAGCAAAATTTGTCCAAAATATCATTCTTTCCCCAAATTGCAATAGATATTTTTAAAAGAAAAAATAAAGTGAGCATGAAAGTGCAAATATGTTTCTGAAAACCTCATTCCAGTCAATTTGTCTATTCTTGCACCCATGCAAATTTTTTTTGTAATTGCTCTATTTATTAATACATATGTCACAAGTGTTCAGAATATCAATGCATTCTTGTTGACATGCTAGACAGAGGCATTTATTTTTTTAAGATCTTTAAAAAAATATTTTGACTTCTGTTCTGCCCGTCATACTCCTTTTTAAACTGATCTCATGAGGTCCTCAAAGTCTATAATGTCAATGCAAGAAAACAATACATAAAGAAGTAAAATAACACAACAGCAATTAATTGGGGGGAAAATCAAAAGTAATATCATTGCCTTCACTGGAAGCAACAGGACAGCTTTGTAACAGGACTATATGTAAGTTTTAACTCAGGGGAGGAGGTGAACTAATTGTCTTTACATACCCAGGCATGGAACAATAATGAGCAAGGAGGCCACCTACTGCTCAACAATTTCCATCATGCATGACACATGCTTTTTTCCTCCTCATGAACAACTACTGAAGTTCCTCCTTACATGTCCTAGGCAGCCTAAAGAAGGTAGGAAAGAGCCTTAGTAAAGGGAAAACCAAACCAAATGAGATTAAGCCAAAAGAACAGTTAAGTATCATCTCTATGTAAAGGTGCATGGCATTTACATGCCAGGGACTAACAGGAGCCTCCCATACTACACGCAGGGCCCCAAGGGGCCAATGATGATAACCAGTCACCTACAATGAACTGCAGTGGGACCAGGTACACGTGGAGGAGCTTTCATGCACGGGGTTGGGGTTCACTAATCTAGCTACAAGCTGTGGCACAACAGGGCTTCACAAGGTACACACTACACATAATGCGGGCTGAAAGGTGGAGCAGAGACTGGGTAGGAGAGTCAGTTGCACGCATGGAGTGGGGTTGAGGGTAGGGAGTTGTGGGAGCAGGTTAAGTGTATCATGTACTGTGCTCTAACATTCTTTGGAAGTCTTTCAGAGATTGTTGCCGTTCCTTTTCAGAACAGATCTCTTATTCCACGGGTCTTGAAAGACCTCTTTACACCATCTCATACGGATTGGCCGTGATGAAACGGGACAGACAGCAGGCCAGCAGCATGCCAATAAACTGGGAGCATGCGATCCCAAACGCCACTCCAGCGATGATCCGCATGTTTGTCTCCATGAAACTGGTCACCAGATCATAGCATCCCTTCTGGTTAACTTTGGTGGCAGCCACAGTCAGATAATGTAGATCCTGGGGATTGCAATCGGTTTCATTCATGCAGCAACTTGGGGGGATGCCATGCTCCAGGAAATAGGGGCTGGTGCTCCAGTTGGTGTAGTTCTGCACGCCACAGCAGCTTAGGCTGCGCTGCACATGGTCCACCGTACGGCTTCTCTCATTATTGCCATTGTAGTTCTGCATGGCATCCGTGCAAGTCCTTAGGAAGGTGTCCTTGATCTCATGACGAAACACAAACCCTGAAATACCAGCTACAAGCTCAGCCAGAAACATCAGGCACAGGAACATGGCATACAGTTTCAGCATCCATGGGCTACCATGGCATGTAGCAAAGCAACCAAATAGGCCCAAAACAACGATAGTGGTTCCAGTTCCAATGAGCACGTAAAGAGCGTTGGTAGAGTTCTCAGCAATTAGAAAGATATAGGTGCCCAGCGTTAAGTTTCCCCCAGACTCCAACGGCCAACAGGATCTCCCCAGTAATCCAGAAGACCAAGGAGTAGATGATGAGGAGGGTTTTGAGACAGGTTATCACAGGTTTGGTCTTCATTCTCCTCGATGCCATACTTCCACACAAAAATTTTTAACTTTATAGTTAGGCCACTTTTTTAATTTCTTCAAAATACTTTTGGTGATTCTAGATAGTTGCACAAATATTTTAGGATCATATTTTAACCTCTAACTAAAAGTTCTGTTGAGGCTTGCTGAATCTATAGATTAATTTGAAAAAATTGACATTAACAACATTGTCAATACATGAATATAACAAATTTTTCTACTGATGTAGAAATTGATTGTTTTGTGTATTATACAATAGTTTTCAACATAGAGGCATCAAGCATCTTTTTCTAGACTTAGTCCTCTTTATTTTTTAGCTCTTACTCTATATGCCATTTTAATTTCATTTTCCAATGGTTTATTGCAAGTACAGAGAATAAAAATTTATATATACTACCCTGTTTTCAATGGCTAAAAATCAAACTTCATAATTGTCACTGCAAATGTGAGCTGGTACTTGCTGAAGGTGGGAATATTTAAAAGAAAAAATGGCTTTCTAAGAAGCTACGGCAAGATCAGAAAGGACTCATGTTTTGGATTAACAGAATTTCAGGAAATTGTTCAAGCATGAGAAAAAAGTTTCAAAGCTTAGTTTGAAAATCTGTGGCTCTTGAAAACAATGTTGGTGATTTTAGGCCCCATAAGAATTATAAAATATGACTATGGAAGTACTGAGAAATGTTAAGACCATTGAATAAAGAAATTTGTCAGATGCTGAACATGGGACTGGAGAGAGTAGTTTAGTGGTGGAATGAATACACAGCATGCACAAGGTCTGAGTTCAATTCAAAAGAGGTGTGTCAGTAGATGAAGAATGGAACTTAATATAGAATTTAAGAAAAGCCATCAAGAACTTCATAAAAATCAAATCATTCAGTATTGCAAGATGCCCACTGAGTTAGAGAAAAGATGGACCTTCTCATATGCAACCATATATACAATTGGAGATTTTTTAAATACTTTTATTTTTTTTGGGTCCGGTAGTGGAGCCTGAACTCTGGGCCTGGGCGCTGTCCCTCAGCTCTTCAGCTCAAGGCTAGCACTCTACCACTTGAGCCACAACACCACTTCCAGCTTTTTTTTTGCTTATGTGGTGCTGAGGAATCGAACCCAGGGCCTCATGCATGCACTCTACCACTGAGCCACCTTCCCAGCCCTTAATATGTTTTTTATTATAAAAATACTGCATAGAGGGTTACAGTTACATGAGCAAGGTAATTGTGTACATTTCCTATCAAGCATTGTTGCCTCCTCCTTTGTTTTTCCCCTACCATCCCTTCCCTCCCACCTCCACAACTATACTGCTCCCCGTTATCCCTCCCACCCTCCCATCCTTCCCCAGCCCCGGCCTAAATTGTAAATTAAGTTTTCAACATAGTATCATGTGCATCTGATTGTTACACTAGGTCAACCTATTTAAGCATTTTGTTTTTTTTCCCTTCCCTTCCCCAAATTAGAAAAGTGTATATACAAGATGCAGGGCACTGACATCAAGTACAGTGAAAACAGGGGTTATACTATGGGGAAGGAACATACAAAAAGACAATAAAATCACATGGTACATTATAAATACATTAGAAACAATAGCAAGAAAGAAAAAAAAACCACTTGTGTCCCTATCTTGGGGTTCCTTTCACTTAACATCATCTTATCTGGTCATATGTACATAGCTTTTGACCGTTTCTGCTTGTCTCAGACATATACTAGTTATTGCAAATAAGGGAAACCATGGGACCTATGTTTCTTTGGGCCTGGCTTACTTCACTTAATATAATTTATCTGACTGGAAATATGTGCATTTTGCAACAAAACAAAAACCCAAGCTGCTTGTGGAGGGCCACTTCATTACACACACACACACACACACACACACACACACACACACACACGACGACTTCTATTTTATAAAGACAGAGACAGAGGCAGAGAGAGGAATACTTTTATTTTTAAGTTTTTTATTGTCTTTAGTTGTAAAAAAAAGGTTTCAGTTCAACTTGTCTGTTTTTGGGTACAATGCATCTTGATCAATGTCACCCCTTTTATCATGCTCCATCACCGCTCCCAAACTAGCCATTCCTTCAACTTACCTAGTTCCAGTTTCACATATGTACATTGAACATTATGACTGCATTCACAGAATGAGACTTTTTAATATCTTGCAGTTCAGAGAACAAATTGAGCCAGAGAAAGACCTTTGAATTAATATATGTATCTGTCTATTGAAGAAAGCATTTATAGGAAGGTACCAGATCCTCCCATCTTGAGTTATATGTAACTAGTAATAATGGCTATCTGTAATGAGCATCCTGTCTTCTTATCTTGTAGAATTAGTAGAGGGGATGCTGTAGGCCTAGTCCATAGATAACTCCATCTCTTCATTAAGTATGTTCCTGACCTGTCAGCCACAGCAGCAGAAACTTTACTGAGTTGACACTTAATTATAGCAACTAATATGGGTTGTAGAACTGCTAGGGAGAGTGACAGATGCCAATTTCTCCTACTTTTAATTTGCAAAGACTCTCCAGCTATTAAAATTTGATACAACTCATACAATTGTCATATCCTTTTAATATCATGCATCATTTAGCCCAACATATTCAAAGCATTATCATACCAATATCTAATCAATATGTCATGCCTTACATGCTTTTTTCTCATATTTAGTCTTCAAAATCCAACATTTTAGTATTCGTAGTATATCTTAATTCAGACCAATCTCATTTCATTTGCTCAACAGCCTCAGTAGACAGTGGCAAGGAACCAGCCTCAGAATATGCTACTTCAAAATAATAATAAACTGAGCATTTGAAACAGAAGGAAATAAAGAAAATTGAAGATCTAAGAATTTATCATGGACATTCTCCCACCTAGCTGATCTTCTGAAAATAAACCATAACAGTTCATTCTAGAAGGGAAAAATTACCCTGAACAAATGGGTCTTGTGAGTACCCTTTCTTTCACTTTATACCATTAGATCATTTTCTTATGTTCAGTTAAGCTGCTTCTCTATAACCATCACTTCACTAGATTTAACAAAAACACATAAAGATTTTCATTTGGTGGGGGGGGGTCCAACATTTCCTTATAAAGACTGCATTATGAAAACTGGCTAATTAGTGTGCTTTTCTCCTGTCCATCTTAATTTATCGGTTTTATTTTCAGTTAGAACAAGGTAATGTAAGAGGGTTGAGGAGTATCTTCCTTCCCTAATTGGACAAATCACATCATGTAGTTTCTAGGCCTAACTGTATTTAGGACGAAAGTTTTCAGCAAGAACACTTAATAGACACAGTTATACCCTCCACAGGCGGTCCAGGCGTCTAACAATAAGTAACCTAAATTTTATTTCTTGATTAAGGGAGTGCTCATTAGATTCCTTTATTATCATTAAATTGCTATATTTTTACTTTTATATTAGTGAAAAATCTGTGGGCTGATAATTTTGGCATCATATCATTCTCTTCCTAATGAATTTTCACCTACTGATTGTAATACATATTGATTATACTTGTTATTGTAATTGAGACTTTAAAATAATAACTCTACTTCTATTATTGCATTACATTACTACTTGATAACCTCCTATTAAAAAGCTTTATCTTATTCCCCTTTTTTTGAAGATCACTGTGATGAGTGTATTTTTATTACTTAGTATGTTAGGATCAATTTCTCCTTCCTCTTCCCTTTCCCTTCCCTTTCTCCTCCTCCTTACAGTTCTTTTTTGTCTTTAGATACTTAATTTAAAAAATAAGACTTCATAATCTGTTTTTAAAATACCTTTGACATTTCAAAATAAAGCTATTCCTTATTTCCTAATTTGGCTATAAGCAGGTGGTTTTTAATAGTCTATTTCTCATATCAGCATTGACACAGGATCTTATTAGACAGAAGACAAAAATGAAGCCTACCTTCTAAATGCAATAGAATGCAACAATAGAATGTTCCTGCCTGTGTCCTGCTCTCTGAGAGCTCTCTCCCACCAGGAGTTCTATCAAAGTTGTAATAAAGAAGATTATAATGTGTCAGTCATAAACTGACTCACACTATTTTGTTTCTTTTATGTTTCCCTACGGGTAGATTTTCACCTTTCTTCAAACTCCTCCCTTCTTCCCTCCACCCCCACACTAGCAAACAAATGAATTGTTTCACTTTATTTTAAAAGAAGAAAAGCAGAATGAATTCAAGTTTGATTTCATTTTTTGTGTGTATGTGTCTGTACTGGGGCTTGAACTATGGACCTTCTGTTCTTGCTTAGCTTTATAATTAATTTACTTTATTTTTGTTTTAGAGATGATACACATGAGCTTACATAAACATGTGTCAGATAATAAGTACATTTCCTCTCATACAGTGTCCTCTGTTCCCTCATTCTCTCCCATTCCCTTCCTCATATCTCCACCCACAAGTTGCATAATTCACTTTCATCAATGTCCAGTGCACTCTATTTCTGCATTTTCCACTCTTTTTCCTCTGATTCTGTGCCCTCTTCCAATCCTACACAGATGTGCACATGAATACACTGTATATAAGGAAAAGAATACAGAATCATAAGCAAAAGAAAAAAATGAAGAAAAATCCTTTGTTTCCATACCTTTGGAGTTTGCTTCAGAATGCCTATTATTTTATATACATATGGGGCTTTTGGGTATAGCACCTTTGTGATTCTCCCCTAAGGCGATTCTCATTTGGTTTCACTGTGTGAGAGTATCTATCCTGTGTAGTTTGTCATATCCCAGTGCATGTTAGATTTAACTTCCACATATCAGAGAGAACATAAGCCATTTGTCTCTCTAATCTTGCCTTACCTTGGTTAACATGATTTGTTCTAGTTCCATTTATTTTCCACAAATGACATTATTTTATTCTTCCTGATGGCTGTGTAAAATTCCACCAAACTTTTTGGATCCACAGATCTATTGTGGGGCATCTAGGTGGTTTAGGTGGTTTCCATGTCTTGGCTATTGTGAACAGTGCAGCAATGAACATGGATGTGCAGGTGTCCTTGTC